TAAAACGTCGTTTACTGAGTTGATACTGCAACAGAAAGTTTCCAATCCCCTGCCTAAATTGTCTCCAACAAGACTTGTATTTGTGTCTCTGCTACACATCTCTACTTTTCGGGAGCTCCCTGGTGCTTTGTGGCCCCCTCCTCTCCCACGAGCTGGGGCCACCTCTGCCATGGTCAGGCTGTGGATGCACACACGAGCAGAGCCCAGAGCAGCTGAGACTGCCCCATCTGCACCAGAGCACGGCCCAGATGTAAACGAGCACATTTGCAGGGCAGCTGATGAGTGAGCATGGAGCTTTCTATCTTAGCAACCTACATGCACCCATTGTCTCTCACCATCTGCTGCAGGAGAGGAAAACCTATGCATATAGAGCCACACTAAATTTGCAAGAAGAGTAGTTTTAAATTATTTGCATAACTGTAATCCACTTCTTCCTAACAAAACACACACTAATAGGAATGACTTAGAGCCCCAGTTTAGCTGCTACTAAACTACTGCTGTCTCTGCTTTACCTCTGGAAGAACAAGATAAACTTCCTGAGCTTCCTTTGTAAAACGAAAAATATTTCAGCCAAAAACATCAAGCTCTGACAATCTCATATGTATGGTAGTGCCTAAATTAAGGTATGTATGTTTGAAATTTGGATCCTTCAAGGACAATCTGTGTAGTAGAGATAAACATTATAAAATGCAAGCAGCTAAATAATGAAGTGAGGATTCTGGAATTTAATATGATAACTCAAGCACTGAGCTGCATGTATTTAGGTTTTGGAGTTTTCACTTTTTCCAAACGGCATTATAAGAATTACAGTTCCTTTAAAAAAAAAAAAAAAAAAAAAGTACATGCCAGGATGAATACTAGTTCCCTAGTTCCCTAAATATTTTTAGTACAAGACATATAATTTACTCAATAAGTGAAAAAGTTTGTTTAGAAAAAGCTACTCAACTGTACTGAATGTCCAAAATCATTCTCCATCTGCAGAACCATAAAAGGGCTCAAAACAGAAGCAGAATGTTTTACAACAGCTGGTCTCTTTCAACTTTCTGTAATTTTTATAGCTCCTTTTTGGTGAATTTTTTTTTAGTATACTGCAGCAGGATTCTTCTAGAAGCAGGCAAACCATGATTTCACTTGTGCAATTCCATGAAGCAGAAGTGGATCACTGTTATCCTGAACCACCACCAGCCAGACACATGCAGGGTCAAGTTATGCACTCTCACATCAGGACTGAAAACTTATCAAATATGGCCCTGATCCAGCAAAGCACTTAAGCACATGCTTTACTTTAAACATGTAAGTAATCCTATTAGAGTAAATGAGATTCAGCATAAACCACTGGACTGAATCTCAGAATACCTTAGTTGTGGCCCTGATTATGTCAGTGACCGACTGTGTCACCTTGGGCAAACCACTGCACTTCTGTGTCCGTGTTTCCCCTCTTGCCCTCGACATGAGCATGCCATGCTGCACCACCTCACCAAAACCTACCCCAATGAATCTTCTAGAAAATGCTGTACAGCCAGTGATGGCAGGGATGCACAGCAGTCAGTTTTCAAACACCTGTCATGTACTCAACACTAACTCTCCTCCAGAAAACCCCAAGATGACATCCCTTTCCCTTAGGCCTTCTTATTCCAGTATTGAGCACCAATTCCAAAAGCACGACATTGCTCATAGAAAGCAGCTGGGATGGAATCCAACCGAAGCCTACCTGCAGGTCAGGGCCAGGACAGCTCCTCAGCATGCCTGGCTCCAAACCCAGCACTCAGAATGCAGTTCTACTCTCACCTCTGACCCTTCCTCACAGGCAGCTTGAGATCCCAAGTCCTGCCTGGGGGTTTATGGGTCAGTCTGCCACATTCCTGCCACTGCTGTACCCACTAAAGGAAAAAAAAAACACAGTCCTGGGAAATTCTGATTAAAGCACGCAGGTCGAGGGCAGCATTGTCTCACTGGATGCAATGTATTTCCACTAAAAAGCTTTATATTTTATATTTTTAGACACTATGATGCAAGATACAATTTTCCACAGGTAGGCCATATGCCATCAACTCTATGTCATAATAATCTTGAGAATATTTTCACATAAATAATTCTGCTTTTGCACATAGATACAACCAAGCAGTCTGTTTACTCTTGCCATCACGCTGTTTCCCAGCAGTTGTCACAGGCAATGTCACTGTCACAAGGAGAATAAGGATTCAGCTCCTAACAATGAAGCAGGCATGGATGAGTGGGCAGGATACTCAAATGAGTTTCAGAAAGACTTGAGGTGAAATACTCTCCCTAGTGAAATCAATAACAGTTCTCCCATTTACTTCAGCAGAGTAAATATTTCAGCCCTTTTTTTCTGTGCCTTCTGGTCATATAACAGAACAATCATTTATTTTCCTTAGAAACACAGGGAAAAGGATACAATACAAGGAAAGCAAAGCAGAGAGGTAAAATACCAAAATAGATGTACTGTCTTTATCAGAATAATTTCAAAAACCCAATTTTACAATGACTCCTATAACTACAGATTATAAACAATGCAGAAAATGAGATTAGATTAACACAGTTAGGACCATCCTTTCTAGGAACTCATTCACAAATTCTTCTTCTGTCCTTGAAACACCTGTACACCACGTTGCTGTTCTCGCAGCTGAGCCAATGAAGAGCTCACAGCAACAGCAACACAATTCTGCATGTGTCAGCCTGCTCCAGATCAGGCCTTTTGCATACAAAGATATCTATTATAAAACACAAGCTTCATAAGCTGTACTCTGTTCATTAAAATATTTTCTGCTGCAGACTGGAAGCCTGGCCTACAAGGAACTTGCCAAAAATATGTTCAGGAGTACAGCAAATGAAATGTGTTTCTAATAGGCCAAAAGTTAGTTACTTTTGACTTTTTCTGAATGCACGCTCTGTTCTCATTGTACAACGATGGGAAATACAGTTAAAAGGTTATATATAACTGTGCACTACCAGCAAGCTAATGGACGCAAGAAACTACCAGTATTCATTAGATATTAAAATTTTGGACGTACAAAATAAAAATTCAGAAAGAGCCTATAGAGTAACCTGAACTTGAGCCTGAATTAAATGCCTGCCATGCACAACACAGGAAAGTCACAGAACAAGTGAAATTTACAGTAAACATGCTGGCTGCCAGTAAGCGCTGCAAGTTTCCAAAATTAGCCGGCTTATCAACCAACAGCGGACATTTACTGCGCATTTCAGAGCTGCCGGGGTCCTCAGCAGCGCCCGAAGCTGGCGCTGACATTCCATCCCCATCCCCAATCCCCAATCCCCATCCCCATCCCATCCCCATCCCATCCCCATCCCCATCCCCATCCCCATCCCCATCCC